TAAACTAGTTTAAATTCGCATTTTTGCTTCAAAAGTCAAAAAAAGTGGTCAGTATAATACAACTCTAACTTGGTGGTTCTATTACAAAACCAAAACAATTTTCCCTTTTTAAATGTTCAATTTACTTATTTCAAAAAAAGCAGGAATTCTATTTTACTTACCTAATAAATTACTGTGAAACAAATGTTTATTGGTTACCTTCTAGGGCCCTGGCATTGTGCTATGCTTGTGGGAATGGATGTAAAACACAATCCCTGCCCTCAAAAAGATTACACTCTAATGCATATTCTCAGTGTTTTAATAACTTCTTCCCCTGTTAAAATGTCTTAGATTTGATAATGATCCTAGTGATGTGATCTTTTCAACTAAAACCACAAAAACAAACATTGACCAAACAGTAACTGTCAGAGAAAATATGAAAATAAAATTGTATTTTCATTTGTTAACTCCCAACTATACTCAGAATCATTTATTTTTTAATTTGAAGAAGAGAGATGATGAAAGAAATGAATGGGAATTTATAACAATGTGCAGGCATCCAAAAAATTAGTTATTTCTAATAAATGAAAAGATCTGATAATACCCCTTATTTCTACATTGCAACAATAGGTGACAGAGGGAAGAGACTGCCTTAAGGTAACATGACAAAATAAACTGTTTTAATTCGAAGTAAAGAAGATGCAACTCACTTATTAGTAAGTCATTAAATATAAACACAGGGATGTACTGAAACTATTTTAATTAAGGTAGTCCAGGTTATTTCCTCCATCAGGCAGATAAGTATGCTTGGGGATGGACGCAAATCAGTCGTTATTTAGGGAAACAAAGTTGAGTTCTTAAAAAAAAAATCTTTTGAGTACGTAATATTTACCTTTATCTTGGAAAATGTTTATATGTAAACCTGTGGTACCTCCACAAGCTCCAAATATTCTCTTAAATTCTCCTGCTCACCTGAGTTTTAATGGAAAAAACACTGAAGCTTTACTATTTACCAATATGTTACAGGGCATTTGTTCCTAGGACCCTTCACACCATCCCTTGGTAGCAGGCACAGGTAATAAGCTTCAGCCCAGGGCCATGGGCCATATACTATTTTGACATATGGCAAAAACTACCTACCACTGACAGAGAGAAACCCTCCTTCCTATTCCGTACCCCAGCACAGACAAAGGATAGGACTCCCTCTTACCCAAGGCCCCATACAGACACAAAGCAGAGTTCAGCTGCCATGAAGGCTAGGGGCACCTGTGTTCTAGATCCACACTTTCAATATGGTAGCCACTTGCCACGTATAGCTGTTGAGATCATTAAAAATGGCTACTGTGATTAAGGAATTAAATTTTAATTTATTTACATTTAAATACAGTCGTCTCTCAGTATCCATGGGACTGGCTGCAGGGCCCCCTGTGAATAACAAAATCTGAGGTTGCTCAAGTCCCATATAAAATGGCATAGTATTTGCATATAACCTATGCACATCTTTTTACAAAACAAAAACCACAGCTGGCAAATGGTTGTGGAGAAGAAAGTTGCTAGCCTATCATTCTTGTCAAAAAATCTGGATTTTCAACCACTTGTGTGTTCCTATATTAGTCATAACCTCATTCATTCTCTAAACTTTTGGAGCACCTAAGCACTTTTAAAGTTGGGGCTAGAGAGATGGTAATTATTGAGAGGAACTCATAGTACAATGTAGAAGAGCACTAAGGGCTTTCATATAGGCAGATTGAGAGGATAACCAGGCAAAGAAAGAGGAAAAGCATATTCAAGGCAGAGAAAACATTTTCTAAGGCAAGGAGTGGAAAAGGTCACAGCACAATTTAGAAATGACAAGCAATTGTTTGGTAGCCTAATATTCATGCTGTCCCTTCTCATCATTATCTAGAACTGGGTTGTTGGCTCTACTTGAATTTCCACTAGAAAAGTATTTTTTGTGAATACCTAAGTCGTACTTAACTAGCATCTACAGCTGACTTTTGAACAAGGTTTGAATTGGAAGGTCTATTTATATGTAGATTTTCATCTGCCTCTGCCACCCCTCAGACATCAAGGCCAAACACTCTTCTTCCTCCACCTCCTCCTTAACCTACTCAGCGTGAAGATGATGATAAAGACCTTTATGATGATCTACTTCACTTAAAATAAATATATTTTCTCTTTCTCATGATTTTCTTAACATTTTCTTTCTTCTATATTACTTTATTCTAAGAATGCCATACATAATACATATAACATACAAAATATGTGTTAATCTGGTTTTTTGTTTTTTCCTCAGTAAGGCTTCTGGTCAACAGTAAGTTACTAGTAGTTAAGTTCTGGGGAGTAAAAAAAATTATAATGTGGATTTTCTATTGCACAAGGGTCAGCATCCATAACTTCCACGTTGTTCAAGGGTCAATTAAATATTATTTTGTGGAAAAATGAGAGCCTATGTACCAAAAGATTTTCCATTTTCATTATAAAATAGAGATAGTGTGGGAGCATTAACATATAATGACATCAATCAATTTTCATGATTTTAGAAACTCTTACCCATGTTTAATGAAAAAAAAATGACTCACCTATCATTTCTGGACATGATTTTTAGTACTAATTCCTTTTTTAAAAGTTATCACTTAGGTATAAGCACATTCCTTATGTAAAAGCAGTAAGGAATATATGTTACATGATTAAAATATGTATGCCATGATATTTATTAAGACAGAAGGTGCCAGAGTTACATGATTAAAGTGTGTATGCCATGGTATTTGTTAAGACAGAGGGTGTACAGTGAAAGAAAATAAAATGTTATTCATTCAAATTTGATTTTTTTTTTTTTTTAAAGGAGTGTCCTGCCTGCTGTGTTGCCCGGGCTGGTCTCAAACTCCTGAGCTCAAGCAATCCTCCCACCTCAGTCTCCCGTGCAGCTTGGACAAAAGGCATGCATCACCACAATCAGCTTTTAAAATTTGGATATTTGGATTTTAGGCAGAGGTGAGAGGATTACCTGAATCCAGGGGTTTGAGACCTCATCTCTACAATAAATCAAAAAATTAGCTGGGTGTGGTAGTATGCGCCTGTGGTTCCACCTACTTGGAAGGCTGAGAAGGAAGGATCATCTGAGCCCCATAGGTGGAGGTCACTATGGCTGTGAGGGTGCCACTGTACTCTAGCCTGGGTGACAGAGTGAGATTTCTACTAAAAAAAAAAAAAAAAAAGAATTTGAAAATGCTTTCATTTTAGTTGAAGACAGACCAGACAGATGCCACTGCTTCATGCCAACCCTAAATTGATTCCTCAATTCATATCGTCAAGCAATTACTGAGTTTCTGCTATAAATGAGGCACTGCACTAAACTCTCTGTAGTCTCTTGAGGAGTAAGATCACTACATAAGTCCCTGGTCCTCAGATCTCCAATCTTACAGTAGAGACAAAACACAAACAACTATAAATAACAAAGAATGAAATCACTGCTATATTCACAAGACAAAATAATCACCATAAAACATTATTTATTAAGCACTTATGTGTCAGGTCCAGGCTAAATCTATTACTTATTTTATTTTATCTTCATAAAACCCCATTTACAAATGATGAAATAAATTATATAGCTAATTAGTTAGAGTTAGTATATAAATCTTTACAGTCTGGTTCTGGAGTCTGACCTCTTACCTATACCTGATACTAAATGTTTCTGATAAACAAGAAAAGGACAATTATTTCTCTCTTGGTGGACTGCTTCAAGTTCCACAGAGAGATACTATTGAAGGTGGTCTTGAAGGAAGAGCAGTTTTCCATGACCAGAGAAGGTGAAGAGGAGCTATTGAGTCTGAGGCAACTCTTAGTCAAAAGTACGTAGGTGGGAAAGCATATTGCATGTTTTGAAAACATACACAGACTTGTTTGGTTAGAATATAGAACCGTAGAAGAGAAGACTACTAGAGTCAGATTATTCAGGGTTTTAACAACAGGATACAACCTGCACAATCCTACCACATGGCCTGCTGCAATGGCACAGACCAAGAGATTTGAACTCCAATATATATCTTAACCTCAAGACAACATCAGCTGAAGGGTTCTCAGCCTCTCTCACTATCCAGACAAATTTAGTACCAGACTCTCCAAATCAGTACAAATGAAGTGGAAGCAGGATCTATCCAGAGATTAAAAAGTTCTCTCTACTCTTTTGAAGCTCATAATAAGCAGCCAGTTAACTCCTTTAACACTTTATCCCTTTAAAATTAAAGCACATTCTGTTGATTGATGTTCTGAAAGGAGATTTTGTTAAAGGAAGTGTTGCTGTTTCAAGGCAGGATTTTTTAAAAACAGTGGGTGAATGGGCAACAGAGAGAGCTATAAAGAGCAGTTTCTTTTCCACCTCAAAACAAGGAGCAGAGCATATGAAGAAGACTACATAAAGGAGCAAACATCTGCATGGTTTTGCCTTTAAATGTCTGTCTTCTCTTCATACCCACTGCCCTAAGAGCTCAAGATCGCACAGGGCTTTAATTATCTACCATTCACATAATTCCCAGATTTCAATCTAACTCTATGTCCTTGCTCTCAAACAAGGACATGTTTTATGTTAATAAACTGACCATCTCCACTTAGATGTACTATCATCTCCAATCAACATCACTAAACTAAACTCATACATTTTTATTTCCAAAACTGCTCCCAGTCTTGACTTCCTTTTTCATTTAATCTAGAACACTTTTCTCAGTCACTAAGCACTATCTTAGTCTCTTACTAAGTAGTCCTTGACACCATGTTTTCACATCCAATACTTTCTTTCAATGACCAGTAAAACATTCTACAACTCCCTGAGCTACCAATAAATGTTGATAATAATATAATAATAACATTCGGAATATGTATAAGCTTCACAGTTTACAAAGCACTTTTATGTGTATATTATATTTCGTGCTTACGAGAACCCAGTGAGACAAGCAGGGAGCACTTTTGTATCACATCTATTGTGGAAATGCAAAAACCATAAGAGATGAGAAAGGTTAACTGACCTGCTCAAATTCACAAGTCCCACTTCCCATGACACTCTCCTCCTTCATTCCAATTGTTATACGAACTCAAGGTAAGGAAGGAGCAATCTCCTTGTTTCCATCTCATCCATGTTGTGTGCCCCCACCAAATCAATCTTCTTAAAACTTTTTGTTGAACATGTTACTTCCAAGTATACAGACTGTTAGGAAAATAAATATGCAAATATACAAACCAGACACAGTAATATTCATGTTCCTCCATGGTCTAGTAATAACCTAGATTCCTGGTCTTAAATTCTACTCTCCCAGTGAAAATCCTTTGTACAAGATACATTTGAATGGTCACTATCTCTTGGAAAGACTTCCATCTTCCACTTAATACCTTTGCCTAAGCTATTCTTTACTTGGAGAGCCTTCCTCACTCCTCTCTGCCTGCCCTATAGTTGTCACACACATCTTAGTTCAGGCACTTTTCCCTACATGAATCTTTTTCATACATACAGCACTCTTTTAAAAATATCTTGCTAAAATTTTGATTTGGTTTTTTATAAAGTTGGGCACAGATAGATGCTTTTGGGGAATTTATCACTAAAAATTCACATTTCTAAATGATTTCTTAAAGTCATTTCTAAATGATTTCTAAAGGTCATTTTGAAAATCATTGAGTTCATTAACAATGTTATTAATGAAAGACAAAGTAACGTCTTAAAGTAACTAATAAGAAGCTAAATTCAATAGGATTAATGTAATTTAAAAGAGAGAAAAATTGAAAATGGCAGAGAAAATTACTGTTCCATATGAACACTTTTATAAATGAAATAAGATCTTCATGTTTGAAAATTCAGGTCATTTTTCCTTTCACAAAGAAGACATATTTGTTTTGGCTACAATTCAAAATCTAATGAATAATAACCTACAAAGAAGTGGTAAGTACTCATCTTTCCAGTGTTGCTTTATTTAAAGCCAAAGAAATATTCCCAACCACTATTTTTGTCTATAAACTCCAGATGACACAAATTTCATAGAGTATGCTTGTTGTTGTTTTATTTTACAGTGATTCTATCAACTTCGGTGCCAAGAGATTATTACCACTAAAAGAACAGTTCTCTGTCGCTGGAAAACTTAATTGCTTTTTATGAAAAGTTATTAATTCATTCAATTTAATATTCGGATTAATCACAGTGAGTTTCTAAAGTATCATTCTCTGGCTTCATAAACATAGATGAAAACAAAAGAAATTAGGCATAAAAACAGAAGGAAATGTGACATGTCTGCAAGACACAGTATGATGCCTTTCAGGAATTGAACCCAAGGGCTTAGAGCTGAAGATAGAGCAGGAACAAGACAGGCAAGGTTCTGCTCTCAAGGAGTTCATAGGGCATCTTGAAGTAATTTGTCCTGTAATTTGGAAGTGAAGTAAATTAAAATACTACCTTGCATGCCTATGTGCATGATTTTTATGCGACAGTTTTCATATACAAAACAGCTGAGCCCTGCGCCTGTAGTTCCAGCTACTTGGAAGGCTGAGGTGGAAGGATTGCCGGAGCCCAGCACTCCAGTCTGGGTGACAGAGTAAGACTCCAACTCAAAAGAAAAAAAAAAATGTGAACTAGAAAAAAATGGCAAAATGGGTTCAAGTGTCACAGGCACAATGCAAAATAAAGACACTGAATTTATCCTACTGATTAATTTTTAATAAATAAATCTTAGGTTGTTTCTAAATTCATTTTAACATGGGCATGGCTTAGTAAAGCTGGAAATAACAACAGGTTACCAAAGAGCAGAGCTTTTATAAATCAGAAGCTACCTAGAAGAGGAAACATCAATTCTGGTTTAAGATCTCATGAGTAATTTCACAAGGTTTGGGCAGGCAGTCTTTCACTGGTTGTATCTGGTGACAGTTAATACAGTATCATAAGCATCACATATTATATTAAACATGGCTGAAAAAATTCCCACCTATTTCACTACCTTTTCTGAAACTGTTAAGTAACAGTATCCACTGAAACAAAGCTCTAGCCTTTTTATATGAAATATTGAAAAATGAATTGTTTCCTTTTTTCTTCTTTTCATTTGGGTACAGGTAAAAACATTTTAGAAAATCTAAAAAGTATTTCCCAAAATACCAAAGAAAGTCATAAAAATTGAAGTCTGACAATTTTTGGAAACCATAATGTTCATTTACTGAAAAACAATGATTTACCTTTAATTAATACTATATGTGCACACCTTATTTTATTGTGTTGTTTACTGTATTTCACAGATACTGCGTTTTTTACAAATTGAAGGTCTGTGGCAAACCTGTGACAAACAAGTCTATCGATGCCATTTTTCCAATAGCAGGTACTCCCTGCATGTCCTTCTGTCACATTTTGGGAATTGTCACAATATTTCAAACATTTTCATTATTATTATTATATCTGTCATGGTGATCTGTAATCAGTGATTTTTTTATGTTACTCTTGATATTGTTTTGGGGTATCACGAATTGTGTCCACAGAAGACAGCAAACTTAATTCATAAATGATGTATGTGTTCTTACTGCTCCACGGACCAGCCATTCCCCCATCTCTCTCTTTCCCTCAGGATTCCACGAGACACAACCATACTGAAATGAGGCCAGTTAATAACCCTGGATTGGCCTCTAAATGTTTGAGTGAAAGGAATAGTCATGTATCTCTAGATTTAAATCAAAAGCTAGAAATGAATATGCATAGTGAGAAAGGCATGTTGAAAGCTGAGATAGGCTTCTGGCCCTGATGGAAGACTTGTGGGATTCAAGATTTCATGAAGAAAGTCACTACAGATGTGGTGGAAATGGCAAGAGAACTAGAATTAGAAATGGAGCCTGAAGATGTGACTGAATTGTTGCAATCTGATGAAAAAAATTTAATGAAAGGGCAACGAAACCAATTTCTTGAGATAGAATTTACTCCTGGTGAAGAGGCTATGAATATTGTTGAAATGACAGCAAAGGATTTAGAACATTACATAAACTTATTTAATAAAGCAGCAGCAGGTTTTGGGAAGACTGGCACCAATTTTAAAAGAAATTCTACTCTGGGGAAAATGTTATCAAATAGCATCATGTTACAGAGAAATTTCTCATGAAAGGAAGAATCAATCAATGTGGCAAACTTCATTGCAGTCATTTTTTTAAGAAACTGACACAACCACTTGAACCTTCAGCAACCACTACCATGGTCAGTGAGCAGTCATCAATACTGAGGCAGGACCTTCAACCAGCAAAAAGATGAAGACTCAGATGATCGATAGAGTTTTTCAGTGATAAAGTATTTTTAAATTAAGATATACACTTTTTAGATGTAATACCATCACACCTAATAGACTATAATATAACATAATCATAACTTTTATATGTATTGGGAAACTGAAAAAAATCTGTGTGGCTCACATTACTACAGTAGTCTGGAACTGAACCTGTGACAACTCCAAGGAATGCCTGTATTTGGTAGAAGTAAGACCTGTCATTCAAAGTTCAAAATACTTCTAGTTTTACTAATAATTAGCAAACAAAATTTCATTCTCTTCAAGAAAACATCCACTTATTACTCACCACACAAACAACAAATGCATAGGCACAATTCTGGTCAGTTTTAAACTGTTTTCATAGTTTCAACTGGATCATAATCTTATGAAGACAGCAGACCTGGCAATAGCATTTATGCAATAAATATTATTTGAACTGTTGATGCATCATTTTCTCTATTTATGAACAGCTGAGGAAATTAATTAAAGCTGGCAGTAAAAAAACAAACTGTTGAAATCCTGAAGACATAAGAACATCTTCAGGGTGAATACTGCTTTTTCCTATGCCACTCTATGACATCCTTTGTACTTCTTAGATAAGCAGGACAAAGCAGACAGCCTTCTCACTTTTTCTACTTTATGAGTCAGTATAAAATGCTGTTTTATTTCTAAGCATTGTGCCTCCTACAGGTGGTTCTCTTCTTATTCTAATTACACTTCACCATTTCTTTGTTGTCATGAACACTTGGTATGTGTCTTACCTGGACAGTTGCATGCTGGAAGTATTCTTTTTCAGACCATTTAAATGGGACCCCTTAAAAATCTGGACATAAAATTGTAATCTATATGCTCATTTTCAACTGTCTCCTATTTTAAATAATGGTAACAGAGATCAAGATGTCAAATATAAATGTCAAATATAAATAATAAGAATATGATTCTTATTTTTTAAACTTAAAAAATTTAATTAACTACTATTTTCAGTAAGTAAAACTATAATGAGATAGAGGGAGAAAGGAAAGAAAGAACTAACTCTACTAAGCAGTTGTAAGGAAAAATTAGAATTACTACAGAGAGAAGCAGAAAAGCAGACAGGGAGATACTTGGGGGTGTGTAGAGGAGGTGGTAGAGAGGTCTAAGAGCTAAAATGTATAATGAATCATCACTATTTAGTTTATCTTGAAATGAATACTTGTAAAATGTGCATAATTGCAGGACGTTTGTACTAATAAAGAGATACCCACTCTAAGTAAAGTGGAACCCTACTTTAAGCAATCAGTCTTTCAAAATCCCTGTAGGATATTTATTTATTTATTTATTTTTATTTTTATTTTTTTGAGTTGGAGTCTCACTCTGTCACCCAGACTGGAGTGCAGTGGCCGCTCCCAGCCACCACAGCCTCGACCTGCTGGGATCCGGCGATCCTTCCACCTCAGCTTCCAAGTAGCCGGAATTACAGGCATGCGCTACCACACCCAGCTGATTTTTTGATTTATTGTAGGGATGAGGTCTCGCTGCCCAGGCGGGTCTCGAACCCGCGGGCTCAGGCAATCCACTCACCTCAGCCTCCCAAAGGCGCGGGATTACAGGCTGAGCCACCGAGCCCAGCGACCTGTAGGATATTTAAATCAAATACTATATTGAAAGTTACCAGAACTAAAACTTTTAAAACAACCTTCAATTATAACCCCAACCTCATCAACTCTCTCTGGCCACAGAATAGCTCTTTCTAAAATAGTTTGCACATAAAATAGTTTATGTCACTACAGAACAACAATAATCAGTTTGCGAAAATCAGT